CCACTGGTACACAGGGGTTACAGAGAGTGAAGATGAGAGAAAAAAAACTGGGTAGAGGGTTACCAAGGAAAGGATAAAAGCTGAAAGGGTTTCAAGAAGATAGAGGATGGCAACTGATGTTGCATTTAAATTTTTGAAGATTGTAGTTATCAGGGAAGCAAGGAAACTGGAGTTTCACTGGTGTTGAAGTGTGAGATTGGTTTGTTTTGTTTTATGGCAAATCGACCTCAATGGGTTATTTAATGCCAACAAAATTTTTACTGCTGGTAATTTTTCAAAAATGTATAGCTGTTTGTATTGCTGGTAGTTTTTTTTTTACAAAGTATTTCTGGAATTAAAACCTATTTTTACACTTTCATAGTATTTTGACACAAGTTTGGGTGTTAACTATTTGCCCATAGCTGGGACCCTAACAGGTGCTACCACCCGAGATCAGGGTGGACTTGGGAACACCAGCAATTAAGAGGTGGTTCCACACTTCTTAAAACCTCCTGATCAGAGGCCTTGTTGTTGGACGTAGTTTGTCTTACCCAGGACGTGGATGTAATTTATCATCATACTCAGGATGATGAAGCGTGAGAAAAGAAATTGTTGGAGTAGAAGTGGTGGTTACATTTAACTAATTCAACAGTAAAAGGGTGGGACCTAGATGCCAATCTAGTAGTACGCTTAAACTCATGTAGTCCAGGAACTAGGAGGAAAAAAAATTGTCAATATTTGCCATGAAAATATTTGTAGAAAAGACAGAGGGAAGCCACATCATGTCAATGAGGAAGTGACTGAAGTCAAGATGCCAAGTCAGGATTGATTACACTGCAGATCCTTCTTTGAATTTTGTCAAGAACCTCAATGTGTAGCAGGAGCACCAGAACAAATATGGCAACAGTATTCAATGCATGGATGAATGGTAGATTTGTAAATGTGCAAGATGCCCTGTGACGAGAAAATGACCCAACTTTCCTTACAGTAGATGCAGCTATTGATTTTGATGATGTCGTTCCACTCAGTCATTTGAAAACATAAGGCCAAGAGGGCGCAGTGTGTTGTTCTCCATGAGTATAGCATCAGCCATGCTGATAGCAGACAGGAAAATTTCTCTATGATGGTTAAAGGAGAGTAGTTTCGTTTTGGAGACATTAAAATTTATGCAACATTTTCCACCCCAGTTAACCACTTATTGAAGGCCCTTTTCAAGAACAGTGGCCAGGTTAACTTTGTCAGCTCTGACAGATTTGCTATTGAGACAGAAATGAATGGTAGTGCCATCAGTATAAATGGCTACTTGGGAACTGATGACATCAGGAATATCATTGATGAAGATCAGAAACAGTGTAGGACCCAGGATAGATCCTTAGGGGATGCCCATGTTTGTGTGAAAGGATCTGGAAGTGATTCCATTCAAAACAACCTTCATTTCATGATTTGATAGTTATGTTTGGACTAAATCAATCATCCAGTAATACCATAGCCTTGGAGCTTATGTAGAATACCAGTGTGCCAAACCTGTTCAAATGACTTTGAGATATCTATAGGTACACCTCTAGCTTCGCCATTATTATCAACAGCTTGATATACTTAGTCAGTGATGGCCATTAACTCATCAGTGGTAGACCTGGATAAACAGAAGAGAGTATGTCATGAGAGGTAAGTGGTAAGAGACTAAAAGGAGGGTAATAGTTAGAGGGGTCAGAAGATTCTCCAGATTTATTAAAAACAGGAACTACAGAAAAGGACTTCCAAGAAGCTGGAAGCAGTGAGGCAATAGCTGTGGATTTTGGAGATGACAGGAGTCAGCTCAAAAGCACATTTCTTTACGATTATGGCTGCTCTGCTTGCCTTATGGGAGTCTAATTTAAAAATAATGTATGAGACCAGTAACAGGGTTATGCACTTATCATTCAGTAAAACCTTTGTCCTATTGGGGGAAACCAGGTGTGGGTACTCCAAATAAATCGAGTGTTGAGTTAGAAGAAAATTTCCAAGCAAAGCATTCAACCTTGTCTGCTGTAGATGTCAAGACCTCAATTTGATTAAATAGAGGAGGGATTGAGGATTTGCTGTTGCTAAACACCCTCTTGCAGAGCTGCCAATAATCTCTAGAACCAAAATTGCAAGATACTGTATGTAAGTAAATTCTATCAGCAACCAGCAACTTCACTTCTTTAAGACCACATTTGCACTCATTACGAGCAGAGACATGTTGCAATCAGACATGTTGCTCTGGTACAGCGGCCGAGCATGTAGGTGAGAACCAAGGAGATGAACATGATTTAATTTATTTCCTTGCTGGAACAAAAGCATTGATGCTGGCTTTCACCCAGGAGGAGACCTAAGAAGTGCATTTTTGAACAGGAAGGGGACATCATGAAGGAAATCATGGAACAAGTCCCAATCCACTTGCCGATTAAGTTATTCTGTTAGCAAGAAGTTTTTGGTGGGGGAGCAGAAAGAGATGTTTACAGACATGATTGCCAGAGTTGCCAAGAGGGCAGAGCTGCATGTTACAACATGAGTCAGGGATAGAGGTAAAAAAGAGATCTAGAAGAGAAGCATGTCCATCAGGGTTACTGAGGAAGTCCACCACTTGCGTGAGTGATTGAGTTGTTCAGGGTTTGTATGCCAGTGATGGAGTGTTTAAAACACCTGGCACTGAACACAAATATATATTTGCAAATGGGTATAGAGAAATGGCTTTGTCTATATTATCAGAAATACTATCTAGTATGCAACAATCATGAGAGAAAGGAGGAATTCCAGAGAAAAAGCGATAGCTGACTAAGTTTAGTAGAGAGAGCTGGAAACACATGTAAGAATGATCTGGAGACTCTGGAGGAATCTCCATAACCAGCACGAGATATTCACGGACATAAACTCCCAGGCCATGCATGTGGATATTAGTCCTTCCTAAAGAGAGGAAAATAGCCAGAAATTGAGAAATCAGAGGAGGGGATTGAAGAGTTAAGATTAGTTTCACAATGAGCTAGGATGTTCAAAGACTTTTCAAAGAGAAAAGATTCCACACTGCAGAAGTTGGTGCAAATACCACAAATTTTGGAGAAAGAAAGGTTTGAGGGGTTTAGGCATTTTTTGTTGAGCTGGTTTAGTTTTATATCTTTGGTTGCTTATAGTCATGGTGTGTTCATTTGATAAGGAAAGGCCTTGGGTAGCAGTTGATCGTTTAATGTAATGTGTGAGAAGGGAACTGACACAGGTTGCAACATAGTGTGTCCTTGGGGTTGTCCACCAGAGGTGCTTGTAGAGCATGTTGCTATATATTGCTTTTCTTTTTTTCTTTTCTTTTTTTTTTTTCTGAATATTTTTCAGCGTTCAATTGTATAATTATTTTAATATCAGTTTTTAAATCAACTTTAATTATTTTTACCAATTGTGTAGTCTCGAACAAAAGTAGAGGCAAAAGCAGGCTTTTTTGGGAAGAGAAAGTGAATTTATAGGAGGAAGAAAATCAATGTTTTGTGGTGTTGTGCCCTGTTGAGAGAGGAATGTGGTGTTCAGTTGAGTGGTAAAACTCCTGACACTTCGAAGGACTTGGCAATTATCAATCTTTTATAGTTTCTAGGGAGGGTAGGGTTCAAAAGTTCTTTCTTCAAAACTTCATAGATAATCATTTTTATTGCTTGAATAATGATTTTATTACTCTAATAGTGTCTCCAAATATATATGGAAATGTTTTAAACTTGCCAAAAAAAGTGTCATATTAATTTTAACATCACATTAATCTTATAGTTATTTAGTGCAACAAACAAATAATTAAACTGAAAAGGGAGGTCTTAAAAATGTTAACTTGCATTATTAAACCATTACATGTTTTAATGTTGAACTCAAATACAAACTAAAATGTCTGCTTCCAAAAGTAAATATTTTAGAAGTAAATAAATTTAAATAAATTGACCTTCTTTTTTTTTTTTTTTTTCATCATACACAATTAACCAAAAGACAAAAAAAAAAATTATCTTTAAAGCTTGTTCTAACTTTAATAATAGCCTGAATGATTAAACTTGTTGAAGGCATTAAATTAATGTGAAACTGTTTTTAAAAAAAAAAAAAAAAAAAAAGCTGAATTAAGATTCAGGTGTTTCTGTCATTTTAATTATGAAAACAAAATCAAACTTTTATTATTTGTAAAATGAAATGATACTCATATATATCATTAACTGACACATGGACAGATAGAAACTCAGCTGACAAAGCTTAAACTTTAGAGTGTAGTAAAAAATATCTTTTAGCTTTGAATTGGATCAAAAGAAAAAAAATACAATCTTAAACTATTTAACCCACTTAAAAATAAAAAAAATATATCCTCCCCCAACCTGGACAGCAGCACTTCAAGTTTTACAATTTCAATTTTTATTTTATTTTAGGGGCAGCAAATGGAGCAGATTATCACTCATTTGCTCCTATAAAATGGAGTGGTTTTTCACTCTTTAAAACTGTGTGCGCAAAAGTTTTGTCACTTAGCTGATTAATGTTATCTTTAGCCTCCCAGCTCCCAGAGCTTCATAGACTGACCTTCCAGTAATTACTGCATCTACTCATCAGGGGTTATCAGCAATTGACTGCTTATATTTTTAAATGTTTCTTTTTTATATGCACTTTTCATTGGTGCAAGTTTTTAATTTCTTTTTTCCATAGTGTATTTGTGCATGCATTCACCTGTCTGCACATACGTGTAGAATGTTGTGGTCATTTGTCCTTTTCGTCATTTGTTTTTCACTTTACATTCACTCCTTATTGTTTTTTTATTTTGTTTCTTTTTACTTTTTGTGAGCGAGATTTGTTATAAATTTCCATACATGTAATTGTTTTAAAGAGAAAATATCTGTATCTAATACCTTTCTAAATATGAAAATATTCTCCATTGTATCTCTAAAGCATGCAGCATGGCAAAATATCTAAAGACTTTAAAAATTTTTTTCTCATTGTTATTTATGTTTGTTTTTTTTCTTCTTCTTTCATTATAGAACACACAGTGATCCTCCAATATGTCATCTGAAACTTATGCTGGAGTAATACAATCAAATGAAAACCAATTATTAGCACCAGAACTTGAAGAAGTAAGCTTGTAGCTTTTTCATAGCAATTCTAAAATATTGTATTTTTTGTTTGTTTGCTTCAAGATATATTAAGATTAACTTGTTGCCAAAAATCAAATTTTGTAAATTGTTTTTATTTTATCTTTTATATTGTAGCAGGAACAATATTTTTCTTGTTTTAACAAGTTTAGAATTTTAATTTAAAAAAAATGATGTTTTGGTTTCACAGTTTTGGGCATCTCTCATAGAACATGATTAAAAAGGTATTCTTGCTTACCTATTTACTTGTGTAGCAAGTTCGATCCTCATCAAGTGACTCATTCTTGTGGCACTATGTTAGATTAATCTAAGCTTAGTATGAGGGTGGCAGTGATGATGAAAGTTTCTTGGTTTGACCAAGAAAGGATTTTTTTTAAAAATGTTCTGATTTTTGCTTATTTGATCATATTTTGAGAAGTAGGCAACACCAATCTCTTTTGTTTCAAAAGTTTAATATGCTAATTCTATAATTACTTTTAGCATTTATCCTCCTTGCATTTTTTTCCTTTTCAATTGGAGCCTATATAATTAGCTTAACACTTATTTTCTGATTAAAATTCATTAAGAGAAAAATGTATGTGGAGGGAAAATGCTTTTATTTGATTTTTGCCTTTTTATTTACAGCAATGTCTCCATTTTTTATCCAAGAATATGTGGGGTATGTTGTGCGAATTGTTGAAAGAGAATGAGTCCAACCAGGAGGCCATAGTCAAATTTATGGATAGTTTGTTAGATGGTGAATATGAAGCCAATGTTCTCAGGTAAGCAGTTACGGTCTATGAAAAATATTAAACTATAGATCTGAAAAAGTTCTCATTTTTTTCAAAACAAGCCTTTTCCTTCTATTAAAAAAAAAAGTCTTACAGCCACATCACGTCAAAACACCAGTTTCTGTATGATCACTGAAGTTATGCAATGTTGAGCTTGGTTAATAGCTTGGAAATACCTGGTGCTGTAAACATGGATGTGCAGGTGGTGTAATGGGCACAGAATTGTTAATCGGTGAGCCAAGTTCCAGTTCCCATTGTTTCTTATATTCACTTACACACCCTTGGGGGGGGGATGAATCCACCTGTTCTTCCCCACCCCAAGCTATGAATTAATTAGTAAGACTTGTATCACTAAATCATTATTATTTTTAAAAAAAATGTAGGAAAAAATTTTCTGGCTCTAACCTGCAAAGGGTTGATAAGCCATAGAAAATGAATGGATCAAACAATCATGTTTTTAAAAAAAATGTATATGGGAAATTTCTGGCAAATATCATATTTGATGATATACAGTGTGCAGCAGAAATATGTCCCACATTTTAAAGGTTGACAAAAAGACAAAGGTGATATTAAAAAACTTATTTCACTGTTGATTAAACAAAGGGTTATGTTTTTTATTTATTTGGTTTCAAAAATGATTTCCTCCAAATGGTGGCCTCTATTCACCATATTCTGTTGTAGATGATTTCTAAAGCCCTGGACATTTTCTGGAGTTCAAGGTCTTCCAGGTGGGTTTCTTTTATGCACTGAACCTGTGAAATTTTCAACTCCTAGCAGTATCAATTCTCTATCTGGAGTAGCACCATACCAACATAATATGAAATAAGCATGAAAAGCTCTGTGTTACAATTACAGACTCACCAGTTTAAAAAAAAAAAAAAACATTTCAATAGCAAACACACAGTGTGCACCAGTCCAAGCCATGATGGTAACTGATGGTATCTGAAAAAAAAAATAAAACATTAGCTAGATGAAGACCCATTGCCACTTGCCTCAGTTTGCTAGCATCATACAGGTGACAGTTTAAAATGTGGATGGTATTTCTGCTGCACCCTATATAAGAATCCTTCCACACGTTTAAAAAAATGTATCTTCTGAGTCTTATTTGTTACATTGAGTATCTGATAAGCTAAGTTTTACCCAGATGTTTTTGTTTACCTTATTGTCTACTTAATTCCAAAACATAATATGGGGTGGGGATGCTGAAAAGTTTTTGGCCCTATCAGAAAAGGATGTTTAAAAAAAAAATCCTTTTGGTCAGATTTTTCAAAGTGGATCAGTCTAAGAACTTTTCAGCAGCCTGCTTTATAATCACTATGCAGTACACATGCCTGTGATAAATGTCTTGTGAGAATTTTTTTTTTTTTTTCATTGAAAGCAAAAGATTTGCATTTCCTAATTTAGTTGGACTTTGTATTAAATTTCAACTTGTTTATTTCAGACGGCATCCTAATTTACATTTCAAAGACACTAGGAGCATAATAAAAAAATGGCTGTGGAAAATATTAAAAATGTATAAATTCCCAAAAGGTTTGTTTTTATTTATCTCATTTTAAATAAGTTTTCCTTTTAAATAAGACCTTTAAACTGAAACTCAATTTATGCTATCCTCTCAAGTGATTTACAAAATATATTTACATGCTATTATTGAATCCTTATTAGCTGTACCACTGCTCTGTGTGTGTGTGCGTATATATAATGAATACAGACGATCCTTAAAAATCCATCCGGTTATAATTTATTTCATGAATATACAAATATTCATCTCTACAGACCAAAGTTTTTTTTAAATAAATGGAGTCAATTTATCCAGATGAAAGGAAAAGGGAGAAAAAAAAACGAAAAAGAAAAAATTTTAATACCAAAAGAGGAAGAAAAAAACAAATTTCAGTATAAGGTTTTAAAAAAAGTTTGGTAGGGAAAAAAAAAGGAAAAAAGGAAGAATTAAACACAAGCTGATAGGGTGACCTAGAAATGACGTCTTTTTTTTAAAGACTGAACAAGTTAAAATACAGATTTAAAATAGATACATTTAATTGTCTGATATTCATGTCATTTCCGACAGCATTATAATCATCATCATTTCAAATTGATGATAATAATAATTATAATTGGCATCAATAAGATAAAGTTAAATAAAATAAAATTAAAAAATATAAAATACATAAAAAAATATTAAAATAAATTAATTAAATAAAATTAAGAGATAAATAAAGAACAATTTTAAGGAACTTATATATATATATATATATATATATATATATATATATATATATATAGAGAGAGAGAGAGAGAGAAAAAGAAAGAAAAGTGATAAGGATGATAATAATAATAATAATATAATAAAGATAATATAAAATAATTAATACTTTAAGATTATAACTGATGTAGGCAAGAAAATCACACAAATGATCATATACATGTTAGTACACATATAAAATAGAATCAACACTTCAAATGTAAATTCTCCAAAATGAATGTTATTAGCAAATTTTAAATCTTGTGTCTACACTTGAAGATAAGTTCATTCCTTTGGTTCATCAGCATTTTTATAGAGGTACTAACATGTATATGTTTAAATAAAAATGCTTTTTGAAGAGTTTAATAAATAATGATATTCTAATTGAATTTGTTTGCAGTATCAAATGAAAAAATGGTGAATCGTGTTATTTAGGAAAGGAAGTATAGAATAACTTTATAAAATAACTTGAATAATATAGATATAGCATTTGGATCATAATTTTGCAAAATAAGCATAATGAAACTTTTTTCTTAAGTAACTTCTGTCATCATAAAGCAGCAAGTATATAGGTATAGCTTTTTCAATATGGTACTTGAGCCATTTATTTTTATTTATTTTTTTTTTTGATGAGTATTAAATGGAAGTTATATTTTAAATTATTATTCAAATTCAAGAGAAATAAGAAAGCAACACTATTAAAAAAAAAAAATAATAATAATTCTTGATAAATTATGGATTTCCTAAGAAATGTTTTCCAGTTCAGGAGTTAAGTTCAATTATCGTATTCTAATTTATTTCTAATTTTAATCTGGATTTTTACTCCACTTCATATAACACATGGCTAAATGGAATGAGGAAAAACTATGGCAATCTTTCAAGTCACCTACCCACCCAGAAAGTCCTGGCCTGTTTATCTAGGCTTGAACACCAAACTCTGGCACCAGTAGAAATATGTGACTATATAAGTCATGAGGAAAGCAACAACTTTACCTTAAGTGTCTTAGATAAATACCATATTTCTCAATATTGAGGATACTTCACTCTCAGGGATACACACCAATTTTCACTTGCAAAATTTTGATAAACAAAAGTTTTTAATTTTCAATTTAATTTTTTTTTTTTTTTTTAATTAATGATAATAATAATAACGAATGAAAAAAAATTTAGAAAAGACTGTTTTAGGTGAGTAAGGGCAATAAATAATAAATTTGAAGCTATTAACACCTTAGCCATACCTGTTGTTACCATGTGATAAACTGGAATCTAGAAGATATAAAGAAAAGATTGGAAGATTGACAAACATATAAAACAATCACTACCCCAAAGGAGATTGACAACCTCAGATTAGGTAAAAAATGGTGTATTATTGCAGTCATGTCTGGGCTGGAGCTGCTCAATCCTCATTTTCCAGTTTTGATAGAGTTCAAAATCATTTCTGCAGTCATGTGGAGGAAAACCTATTTTCCACTCTGCAACCTTTCACAGACACAATATTGCAAATCTGTTGCTACTCTATCACTATTCTTATGGTAAATGTTTAGATGAGTTCCAGTTCAAATCTTCATACCTAGGACACACCATGCCACTTCCACAGACGCAAATTACTCTCATTTCCTGTGTCCCAAATGTAAAATCAGTCAGACAGCTTTTCCCCCAAGAACTGCCACTTTGTGAAAACATACTTTTGCATGTGGATGCTTCCTTGAATGCTATAATCTGTATCCCTCTTCAAATCAAGGGTCAATTGTTGTCTATCTTCTTTATCCTTAAAATCTTCACTTTCCCACCCACCTTCCCTTCCATTCATAACACACACCACCTCATTATTTTGATTGTAACCCTTGAGCCTTCTGTTGGGTAAAAACCCATCTGTCTCGGCTAGATGAAAGTAGATTCAGCTAGAAATCATATACAAGATAACAACTGTAGGTGTTGACCAATGATTTAATGCTAAATCTTGTTTATCATCATGAATCCAATAAAAAAGCAAACCTTCAATTGTCAAAGAAAGTGAAACGTTCAAACAGTATCTACAAACAAGATGAAATTGAAAGTGAAATACTAAAAGTAAAATCCAGAAACATCAAAGAAAAATGTAAAATTTAATTTTCAGGTTAAGCCCTTATTTATCTTTATGTGACCAATATGCATTGCGAGCACAAGACCCTAATTTTGACACAAATTTGATCATCTCAGTTGAAACCAGAAATGGAAAGCCATCCCAACTGTTCAAGATCAAAACTTGCCAACAAGATCCTTTGAGGTACATAAATGAATGGAACAGATCCAAAATTTCACTTGAGGAAACTATTGACCTTTTAATATCTGTGTGCTCTACTCTAGCCCCAAATGAATTTGAATATAAACATTATAGAGTAGAGAAATACCTGCATTGGAAGATAGGTGAACATTATAAGCTTCACCATACAGAAAAGTGGTATAAATACAGTTCACCACCATTGCTAGGAAGTGAAAATGTTACAATGCTCTGGGACTTTATTATATATATTGACTGCACTATACAAGTCAATAGACCAGATATAGTAGTAGTAACTGATGGCTTATCCTGAAGATTAAGTTACAGCAACTTTCCTCAGTACTTCAGATATTTTTCCTGATTTCCAGTTCCTCCAGCATAGGCAGAATGTACAGATACTCTGACCCAAGGCTGATCCATACATAAATACCTATGTTTACTAAAATATCATCAACAACAACAATGATCTTCACCATAGACATGATAGGGTAGGGAAATGCTTGCATTGGAAGATATGTAAACATTATAATCATCCCCATACTGAAAAATGCTGTGAACACAATCCACTCCCTCAATGCTCTGGGACTTCATCATACAAGTCAATAGACTAGATATAATAATAAAAATAGGACTTCAAAAAAACAAGTACTATCTCATAGACATGGCCATCTTGTGTGATTAAAAAAAAAAATACAAGGATCTGGAAATAGAAATTTCAAAAATGTGGTATGACCACCATTCCAATAATAGGAATTATTAAAAGAAAATTGATACCCACATATGTGATACAAAAATGTGTGCCCATGAGGACTGTTCATATATTCAGATAAACTCTTGATCTAATGTGCTTAATGACTTTGTAAGAAAAACCTTCCTTCACTACTGGTTTCAGGTAAAAGACTTGTTAAAGGATTGTATCAAACAGCAAATCAAGAAAACTAGAAATAATAAGTAAATTAAAAGCTTTAGTCTATTGGTCAATGGGTAAATTTAGGTTTTATTTCAGAAAAAAATTAACATTTTCAATAGTTAGGTACTTTTTCAAGCCTATTGAAAAGTTTATAGTTTTTTTTGTTTTTTTTTTTATTTCAGGAATTTGTCCAAATTTGTTGTCCTCCCACAGAATGGGTTTTATCTCACATACATTCCATCAGTACCAAAGACAGGTAAAATGTACTAAATATCTTTTAATTTCTCCCATAATTCATGAAGGGTATAATGTTTTGCCAATATATATGTATCTCTTTTTCTGAAACATCAAGCAACTACATTGATTTCACTGTTTGCTTCTATTTTCTCTGTAAGAAATAGAATTGATAATATACTATTGTTCTCATCTTTGTTGTTATCACAACATTTTGGCTGTTGTGGTAACCTACAGGTCATCCAGTAATACTGACATTCCTTTTGGAAATTACACTTGATTTATCTTAAACAAAATATAGTTATAAACTAATAGTTAATGAACAATCAAAGGTAATTTGGTAGGAGTATAACGGCATCTGAGACACTACCATAGGTTTTCTTTTATTGTTTTTAAATGTGTATTGTTTATGTCAATGATGCAAAAAAGAGCCATCCTAGATATGACAATAAACTACATCTGACAGCAAGACCTCTGATCAGAAGATTTTGAGGAGTGTGTAACCACCTCTTAATTGCTGGTGTTCCCAGGTCCACCCTGACCTGGA